TTGATTTTAAAATTCTGCTTTTTGTTTTTAAAGCCATGAACGGATTACCTCCAAAATATCTCTCTGGTCTTTTGAAATTAAATAACTATCATAAGGTCATCTCAAAAAAGACTAAAAGTGAAAATCATGCTTTGAAAATCGTGCTTGATGGCTGCGGTAACCATTGACTATAATTGTATGCAAAATCATTTGTGTTCCATGGAAGGAAAAAACATAATTTACAAATGACGTGAGGGTGAATACATGATTTTCATTTTCGGGTGAACTTTTCCATTAACCCTAACAAAAATGACACACATCGGCTATATAAACAGACATCACATCATACATATATTACACTCATCAGTTTACAGGTATATTCTTTAAAAACCGGATGGAACTGTTTTCGCTATCTAAGCGCTCTCTTTCCCTTTACCCCTCTCTGTCCATTTAGTTTCACAAAACAATTTGCAAATCAAATCTCGCCCCATTAGCCCTTCCATAATACACATGAATCTGTAGTTCAAAACATCAGGAAGGGAAAATCAACACCACACATGCTAATGCAGACTCACACACACACACACACACACTAATGATTGTGTCATTTGGAGTCACATTCCACTATTCAGCTCATCTGGCATAAGACACACACACAGAGCCAAGAGGTCAAGGTTCACCCTGCCCAGCCGAGAACAGGTGGTTTCATTTACACACACTGAAAGGCTGAGTTTCACTTTATCGGTTACACTGCAAGTAAATTAAAGGCTAACTGTAAATGAATTCTAATAAACATGTTGTCATCAACGTCGCAGTGCTGTCAAAAACCCTGATTGTGTTTTCAAATGGCAGAATGTTAGTTGTCGAAAACTGTAGGGTGAATTCAGGTTGATTGGGACAATTTTTAACTTTTCTCAATGGAAAAATGTGTCCCAATCATCCTGAACTCACCCTAGTTAAAAAAGATCAAGTTGAATCTCTGAAGCAGTTAAAAATTTACCTGGATAACGATTAAAAGAGCTCTGAGTCAATTCACCTGAATAAACCTTAGATAATAAATGAGATATGATCTGATCTGATTCTAGTTATTCATTTCTTTAATAGTATGTGTGTATTTTTGTGAACCTTGTTTCAATCAAAGGTTACCAAATCCAAAGGGATTTACACATGTAACAAATCTTGCCAATTTCGTGTGTCCATGTTGTTTATATGTCTTTGTGGTGTTTAAAATATTAAATACGTATTTAAAATATGTTTAAAATACAAACCATGCATGTGCAAATTCATGTCAACACCATTGCTGATTATTTTCTCCTTAAAAATGCAGAGGACAAAAAATACGGTGTTGTTTCTTAGGTCACAAACTACCTTGTAACCAATCACGTCAACGTGCGGGCAGGCTATATCATTAACTGTGGTCTCTCAAGAGAAGCCAAGTTAGTCCAGTATGAAAAATCAGGTGCATTTAGCAATATAGCGGGTGAATGTATATATACATATATGATGTAGGCCTATATTACGATGTTATGATGTACTATATAACTTTCTCCACTGACTGATGTTCTAAGTTGTTCAGCATTTCTAAGGATACTGATTTTTATAAGTCAGACTAAGATGGCAAACAGGAACATGGTTTGTGTAACACTAGCAACACATTAATAGTTTGATAACATAGTCAAGAAAAAGACGAATCATATTATATACCATGATATGTCTGACGTTGTAGAGAGCGATACATAAAAAGCATTAGGCAACCATTCTGATACATTGACTTGACTGAGTGGATCTCTGAGCTGGCGTGAGCGGAGAAGGGGCTAATTTGCATATTCATGTTTCCGCAAATACTTATGAAGTTAGGGTATAAAGTTACATTCAAGCTATTTTAAGGCATGAATAAAAAAAAAATCACAAGAAAAAATGTTTTAAATACGCATTTTGGTGATCAAAGATGAGTTTTAAGGGACAAAATGATTGACTGCAGGGGGATTTTAAGTTTATCAGATGGTCATATGGTACTTTGATGCATATAATGGTACTAAATGATATACCATGGTATTTGCATGGCATTCCAAAGTCCTTCAGAAAATACCATGGAACTGCCGTCATGATAGACAACGACATGGTATTAACATGGTACGTTTTTGTAAGTGTTACTATTTGTTCCTATTTGGTATTCAACCAACCTTTGGTATTTCAACCTTAGGTAAAGTAAACCTTAGGTAAGTTAGTTTAAGTAGTTTTAATATTTAATATTTGGGTCTGCTGAGTCTATATAATATTTAATATTATTGAAGTGGGGATAGGACAAGAAAAGTTATTCTAACTTCTTCCTACCCCCTTTGAACATGATTGTTGTTTGGACCATCTGTAGATGATCTTTTTTTTTATGTCGATGATTAACTATTTATTTTTATTTTTTATTCAGTTTTTGCTGTTGTCTTTTTTTTAACATGTTCAATAAAGAGAGATTAATTAAAAATAATTAATTAATAATTTGTGTTGGCCTGTCTGTTTTAAATAGCATGTAAAGGGATATAATATGAGCTTTATGAACATTTAAAAAATAATAATTAACAGAAGTTGGTGAACATTATTTGCAAGCAGGTTTATTATTATCAACTAAATAAACTAAATATAAATATTAGATTTTATTTCGATTTAAGTTTGAAAGTGTTGAAGCACTAAAATTAGGCTACTAACTGAAAATAAAAACTAAAACTGAACTAAAAAGTGAATTAAACCTAAATGGTAACATTTATGAAAGCTAATGATGACAAAAGTTGGACTAAAATCAAAATGCAAAAATAAAAGCGGATTCAAAATATTGATAAAAACTAGAATATTCTTACAGTCTGCAGTGCACTGATGACTAAATGACTGATTTTGAGTGGTACGACATACCATCACAGTAATACATTTGCTCATATACAACGGACAAATTAGACAAAACTGGAATGACCCCCCTTTTAGATTCATGGAGATGATTACATTGGAAATTGTTATATGTTGAATCACAAAACTAGAACTTAGAAATCTGGTCACCTACATGTGTTTAGATATGTACGGGGATTTCCTGTTTTTGTAAGCACCACTGAGAGTCTCCCATTACTCTGCTGTCGCTGTGATAAGTGGACATATTTAAACATGAGTCACTGACCTGGAGTAAGAAAAACAAGCAGGGTAGCTCTCTCTCTCTCTCTCTCTCTCTCTCTCTCTCTCTCACAGACACACACACCATCTTCTTGCTAACAAACAATATTATTTCCACCAACTATTTTCAAACAAACTGAGAGCGAGGCTTTAACACACACAGGAGGAAAGAATGATGGAAGGTGTTTTGTATTCAGAACAAGGCCACAGGTTATAAAGTGAAGACATGGTATGATTACCATGCACGTATGAGATGACACAAGAACACATACCGAACATCCTGTGACAGTGCGTGAACAGCTAAACATGTCAAATATCTGAGTTGTTGTCCCCAGGCCTTGACCAAGAGTTCTGTTTTTCTTTTCTTTTTTACACTAAAGGCTTCTAGAAACAGTCACAAGGAGCTTCTTTTAGCCTGAGCTCTACGCTACACATATAGCCCAGGGATGACATTAAAAGAGTGAGATGACAGCACCTAATACTTTCTACACTTTTAGCAGTGAAGTTACTGTGTTTGTAGGGTATATTTAGCAGTGGCAGGGCAGTGCTTACTGTTAGCTAGCTTTAGCCTGTAGCTTGAGTTTATGTCTATTCACAACTAAACGGAACGGAATGTCAGGGTTTCAAAAACAAGTTAAGCTGTATTGACATTTGAAAATGCTGTTCGTTACTACGGAAAATAATTTTGACTCATTTATAAAAACAAACAAAATCACATGTAGCAATAGAAAGTAGTAAAAGTATCATTTGTGGTGGAACTATACTATTTTAAAGGGGTGGTGTATGGCCATTTTTACAATATGAAAAATAAGTCTCTGTCCCCAGAACGTGTATTTGAAGTTTTAGCTCAAAATACCCACAGATAATTTTGTACAGCATAGTTGTCTCTTTTTAAAGGTTGTATCAGCGATTTCAGGCCCAAACAAAAATTATCACATTCTTTCCTAACAATCCGCAAGCTGCCCACTCCATAAGCAGGCTGTCAATAGACCCTTTTACAGTTGGTAAACATGATGACGTTTTTTTGTGGGCGGAGCTTAGGTGGAGGCAGAAAGATCCACCTGGCCGCTTCACTAACGCGAGTTAGCAAGGATTGTTAGCTTGTTTTTTAACAATGACTGGAGAAAATCCGATATTATCTTAATGAGTAAGGTCACTCAGTGTCCAGGACCGCGATTGTTATTTCCAAAAGTTATTTTTAACGGACGGAACCAGATTGGCAGACCCGTAGCCTTCACACGCTCACTCAATGCATGGACGATCTGACAGGATTAACGTACGTTACCTCGGTTGAGTGGCCTGACTTCTACACCTAGCTTACAGAGAAACCGATCGTAAATAGAAACTGAGGGCATATAAATCTTTAGATGCCTATATGGTCCTGTACAAGACTTGTGTGTATGATCCGCAGTTCTGCCGAGTCAGCGCCGAGACCACGACAATGTAATGAGTGACATTACAGTGCGATTTTAATGATGTGAATATTTTCTAGAAATAAAAGTTCTAGATACAGCATATTCATTTTTCATCAATTCTTGCACCAAACAACACAACAAGATGACATTTAATAATAGTAACAATTATTTAAGCTCCTTATTATGTAGCCGAATCTGTGCTGTTTTGCATTGACCTCCTCCAGTTTTCACTTTGTTTTGCCTCCAGCTAGCGCCGAGACGTAACTGTGACGTCGGCGCAAAAGGGGTCTATAGGCCGTCTCTGTAGGTAGCCTACACTCTGAGATCTACACACAAAAACAAATGGGAACAACCACCACTCAAAATCAAAATAAACAGTGTTCTAACCAATCACCGACGGGGGAGGGACGTTGTTTGTTTTTCCGCTCGTTCATGGTGTCTGCATGTGAAGTCGGAGCTGAAGAATAAGCCAGCGTCTATCAACACTATGCTTTCAACGGACCAGATTTAACATGGAAGAGGCAATCCCCAAGAAGAGGAGGAGGATTAGGGCGAGGGAATGCCGTCGTTTTTCGTCAAAGAAACTAATAATAATCGGGAAGGCTTTTGAACAGTGGAGCGAGCTCAAAGAATTGAAAAATGTTGCCGACGCCGTTTCTTCTGGACAGGTGAGTAGCTTCTAGTGTTGAATTTTTTGTATGTGAACTGTGTGTGAAAATATGATTCTTTAAAAAATAGTGAAGCTCGACTAAACTTGGATAGCTCTAGCGAATATAGGGATTTAGTGTGTGAGTTGCGTTTGTTATATGATCTACTTTGATGTGTCGCCATAACATTGTATTAGCAATAACACTAGCCTACGTTCAGGACTAACGTTAGCCGAATAGTAATAAGCTGTTATAATATTATTCCAGATAGATATGAGTTTTCCCCATAACGTTAGATCTGTAGCTATATGACTGAACTGTACAAGGTAAATAAATGATAATAGGCAACTGACAACTTGCTAGAAACCATTTATATTACAAATTACTATTCTGTTAGCTGGGAGGAAAGCTGGAAGCTAGCTATGTAGTTGAACACAATGTTCATGCATACGAAGTAAAAAAATAGAAACATTTTCTGCGTTAGCCTATTTTAAAATAAACAATATTGAAAGTGTAAGTGATAAATATTATATTTACTTGGTTATAAAATTATGTTTGAATACAACTATAATGACTTACCCAACAGAATGAGCCATCATTGAGGTAGACCGTCAATCTGAATATAGTGTGTTTTTGTCGCTTTAAGAAATGCGCGTGCATGGTCGTTTTTTTTCATGATGCGTGAAACGCGAGGGAGGGGCGAGCTAAATTGGTTTGTTTGGGATCTGACTTCAAACACAAACAGGAGTGAAGTCAAGCACAATCGCTGATACAACATTTAAGGGTCAGTTAAAATGCGTTGTTTCGTGTGTGTCCCTTTAAATGCAAATTAACTCACGGCACAGAGTTTGTTAGCAGCTCTGATTACTTCACGCAAACCAGCACTAAAATGTCAGAAACTGTTCTGCCTTTTATGTTAAAAAAAAAGTTAACCAATGGTGCTTTTTTTTTGACTGTATAGTGTCTCCATCACCTATTGGAGCAATAGGACCCACAGAGTACAGGGTGATCACCCCCTACTGGCCTCACTAGGTACTTGTACTGAGCCAAGAATATTTTTTTCTCTTAAATAGCATACCTGTATCAATGATGGACCACCAACTCATGTACACCTAACCAGCACAACACTGGACCATCATGGGAATTCATGATGGATTATACTGGTATTTTCACCAGGGTGTGAGAATTGTTTCTCTCTAGTTCTTGAATCCTGAACGTACATATTTGCTTAAAAGGAAACAAACAGCGAAATTAGATTAGACTCAAGCACTGTGAACATATTTGTTTATATTGAGACCACATATCCAAACAACGATTTCAATAATGCATTATTATTATAGTACTCCAGACAGCAGTTTACATTACATTTACATTGCATTTTCTATTAGTGACCTCTACTGGAAAGAATGCACAACAACATCTCTCGGCCTGCTGAAGAGTTTAAAAGTGTTATCTAAACCTTGAATGAACCAAAATCAAAATCCAACTAGACTATAAACAGGATGTGAGGATTTGTATTCCTTTCTGTTCTAAAGTGGTTGATGAATAACAGGAGAAGGATTTCGTGTCTGAAATGAAAGTTTCTCAGTCTCTTCTGACAGCCTTTAATCATGGCAGTCTCTCTGTATACACTGACTGAGTAATAATGAATGAGAGAGACAGAGAGAAAGAGTGTGTGTGTGTATGTGTGTGTGTGTGCAAAGGGATCATGAAATATTAATAACCCTGGTGGGGTGGAGAGGTCATGTTTCAGACAGAAACAATAGATGGATCTCTAGCAATCTCTCTCCTCTTCCTGTGTTTATCTAGGCAACAATTAGCCACTCAATCAGGAACATCAGTCCCTCATTCTGCTCTTGTCCAAAACCCCTTCAGAATAAGACTCAAGCATCCAATCAGCCAGGCCTGTGTTTCACCACCAGGATGAAGAAAACGTAAGTCACATACCAAGTATGTCTATATATCTTTTCTTCTGTCAAGTTCAAGCTTCCACGGAGTCCCTTACAAAAACAGTGGTTTCCATCAAAATACCATGTAGAACTACAGTCAGTTAACGTCCTTTACCTAAGGCGACCATGATAGGTAATACCAACTTATCACCTTTTTTTGTAGATAAAAAATCACTGCCAATCCCATCTTGCATGCTATCCATCTTAAAGGGGTCATGAACTGGCTTTTTAAATTTTATTATATTGTTGTCTGAGGTCAACTTATGACGTTCGCTTGGTTTTTGCATTCAAAAACATCAAAATGAATAAATAATAGGCTATTTTGTTCCCCTTTTACCTGAAAAACGCTCGGTTTTTATGGGTGTCTCGCACTGAAGACTTGGAAGTCAGAGCCCACTGCTGTGAGTGGATAACAGTTTTGCATATTATAATGAGATTCAACTCACCCGTTGGTGCACTTGCCGGAATGATACGCCCATACATGTTCGACTCTTAAAGGGTTAGTTCACCCAAAAATGAAAATTAAGTCATTAATTACTCACCCCCATGCTGTACCAACCCCGTAAGACCTTCGTTCGTCTTCGGAACATAAATAAAGATATTTTTAATTAAATTTGAGAGCTGTATAACTACCACATAGACTTTTAAGGGACTGGCTCTTGACGGCCCAGAAAGTCAATGAAGAAAATGTTTAAATATTCCATGTGACTACAGTGGCTCAACTTTATGTTGATCAAGCGACGAGAGTATTTTTTGTGCGAAAAAACAAACAAAAATAACGACTTTATTCGACTATTCCTTTTCTTCCTTGTTGGCCTGAAACGAGACTTCCATACGATTTCCACGGCGCATGCGCGAGAACTGAACTGAAGAAGTTAAAGGAGATCGCAATTCTCGCGCATGCGTCGTGGAAATCGTATTGAAGTCTCGTTTCAGGCCAACAAGGAAGAAAAGGAATATTCGTATTAAGTCGTTATTTTCGTTTGTTTTTTCGCACAGAAAGTACTCTCGTCGCTTAATAAACCTAAAGTTGAGCCACTGTAGTCACATGGAATATTTAAACATTTTCTTCATTGACTTTCTGGGCCGTCAAGAGCCAGTCCCTTAAAAGTCTATGTGGTAGTTATACAGCTCTCAAATTTAATTAAAAATATCTTTATTTATGTTCCGAAGACGAACGAAGGTCTTACGGGGTTGGTACAGCATGGGGGTGAGTAATTAATGACTTAATTTTCATTTTTGGGTGAACTAACCCTTTAAACGGTCTGCAAATCCAGTCTTCTTTACAAAACAATCCTCAGTGAAATTAAGTGAACAGACGGACAATGTTTTACCTCATCAGCTTGAGTGGAACGTCATTAAAAATAAAGTTTATCTATGCAGTCCTATTGGAATCCAGAGTGTGTGAAAGCAATTTTAAAAACTGCATTAAATGAACATGCAAGGGCAGGGGATGGGTTGAACTTTGTGAATGGCTTTACAATTCTGCTGTTGCATATTGCATGTGGGCCTGATCAGGCAGATAAAACACAGTAAGACTTTACAACCATCAACATCTGATGAAATATAACTGACGTAGTATCCTAAGAACATGATGGTCATCATTACAACTTCAATAATATTCAACCTATTATTTTTAATTACAGCTTTGGTTTTTATTGTGTGTGTGTGTGTGTGTGTGTCTGTATAGTTGCAAGTATGAGTTGAACCAAACCATGTTTACATAGTTTAGCTAATTAGTACATTCTCTCTCTCTCTTTCTTTATATATCTATATATATCTCTCACTTTTTTCTGTTGGTTTTACTCTGCCCACACACATTACCCACATGCAAATTACAGGGTTATTTATACGAAAGCCAGTGTTGCGGAAAGAACCCCCAAAATAAGTTTTAAATAACATAGTGCATAACATTTTGTGTGTGTGTGTAAGCATGTCAGTGCACGGTTGCTCTGCTTCCCACAAATTTATTGCCAGTAGCTACCTCATTTGTTTGTGTGTGTGTGTGTGTGTGTGTGTTGGTTTTTGTGAATTACGAGGACATTTCACATGAATACACACAACACTATGGGGACATTTTGAATTATGGGGACATGACCGGTGTCCTCATAATTCTAACAGTGTAGAAGTGCTTCTATACCTAGAGGGAGCTCAAATCCAAAATTTCTCCACAAGTCCCCATAGTTCACATTTACATGATTTTGTGTAAAACGTGTGTATCGAGACAGTGCCCCTGTAGGTGGGTCTGGGGTACTGCACCTCCTCATGAATATTCACACTTGTGTATGAAATCGCAGTTTGTGATTGGCTGTGACCGCCGGAAGTCCTCATAATTTCGGGTTTTGTCAGACCACTGTGTTAATGTGTTTACCTCACACGAGTTAATGCAGTTTACTAACTATTTAAACATTATTGTTTTATAATTTATCAATTGTCAATGAAATATATAAATGCAGAGTGACCCTGCAATTATAAATAATCCGTAAATATCATATTATGAAAAATGAAAATAGCTTGAAAGCTGTTCGCAATCAGTTTAATGGAGAAACGCGACCCTAACCACACTGTTAACTGCTATATCATAGACTATATCATAGATGGCTATTTACATACATAATGGTATTATTATTCTACAATATCGTTTATTATAATCCATATGGTCTAATAATCATAGTTTAGCGTCGCGTTTATTTCCTGTTTGGACCGGGTGGAAACTGCAGCTGAGAAGACACCTGTGATTTGGACCTGTTTAAAGCAACTATTACTGGAAAGGTAAGCTTTACTGCTGTTTAATAGCTTGTAGGTCAGTTTGTCTTGTTTGTGCATGTCTTGTAAGCTCTTTGCTGCTCGGTTTACTGTAATGAAGCCGCTAGCGCCAGATGCTAACGATGCTAACGACCTTTACAGTGATCGCCATTCTGTTTACAGACTGTCAGGAGAGAATATGAGATGTTTGACAGTTTAACTAGTTTTAGTTTGCAATATAATTGTAATTGTAACATAAAATAGGCTAGCCATGATCAAAATAAGGAGATGTCATGACCCTGTGAAGGGGCGAGGTTTCCCCAGTACAGTATCCTGACATGCTACTGTAAATATTACTGCAGTTCTGCTGGCTTTAGAGATTGGTCATGTGCTCTTAGTCCTCCTGCATGTAATACCATATAATCTGTACTAATAGAACTGTCAGTCTTAATGTTTATACTGAAAACAAACCTGCTGAATATGTCAAATGAAATGCAATATTGAGTATTAATGAGGGTCTTTTCTATGACAGCAGACACTCTGAGAGCCCAAGCCACTGGATGAGGTGTAGTTTTCACTTCAGAACAAAGACAGATTCATCAATGATTTTAAAGGTGAGTTAAATGGTTTGATAGAGTTAAGTTTAAGTGAAGTGAAGTGAAGTTTAAGTGAAATTAATGTGTTTAATAAAACTGTGTCATGTACATGATATGTTATTTACAGTGATGGTGTTTCTTCTTCTCTGTTGTTGTGTAGGGAGAGGAGTGTTCAGTTGCTCTGAGTTTCATAAGGGAGATTTCCTGCTTGAATATGGAGGAGACTAAGAAAAGAAGAAGAACGAGAGCGAAGGCAAAGAGTATCTCATCATGACGAGTTTCATTACGATGGAAAACTCCTCTGGTATGTACAAGTGTTTGATGCGTATGTAACCTTTGTACTTATAGCCCAGATTCGATCACGAGTGGACGAGGGACACACATTCCTGGTTACACCTGGTGTTTTAATCCGTCTTTTGCCACTTTAACCACAGATTTCTTCGTGGTGAGGGTAGATCTTTTTCGATCTAATTGATGAAATAAGCTTACGCAATTTACATATGAGCGCGACCAGCATACACATGTGTTTTATTTTCAACTGTTTATGTTCACTTAAAGGGAAACTTCACCTCTGGGAAGATAAATGTGTATTTAAAATTGGTCATTTATATAGTAGAAATATTAAATTATTTTTGAAATTGAAGCATTCTAGACTGAGAAAATGTATTTTTTACTCATGTGGCTGAAAGATGACAACTCCCAGAATGCACTTGCTTTGCTGCCCTTACGAGGCCACTCCCAAACCACGCCTACCAGTTACAGGCGGCAGAATCCAAAAAATGAATACAACTACGCTTGCTTTGATACATCGTGAGTTATTTGATAAATTTACATCGAAATGGTGCTAAATTGCATTGTACTGGGATGTACTAGCCTAATGTATATAACACAACTTAGACTTTCACAGTAAAAATATGATGTCAGGCAGGACCATGTCAACACAGTAGCTTAGTAGCTCTGCTTATGAACTGTTTTCCTCCAATTGAAATCACTATTTCTCTAAGTTAATACATTGTCTAGGCTAATCCATACTAACACTAAAGATTTATAAAAAGAACCACAACCAATGTGAGTTATAACTTTTAATTAAAAAAATAATTATTAACTTTTTTACTCTCAAAGCTCTGCGGATTCAGTGATCTCACCAGACGAAAATGGCATCGCTGAGATTCGCGACAGCAATAGGACTCTATATCTGTTTCCATAGGTGCAGAGCGAAAGCACTCACGTGGCCCAGCTCAAGTCTGGCTGGGCTCAGGTCTCGCTCCGGCCGCCTCTTGTTCCTCCATCTCCCGCAACTGTTTATCGCTGTATTGCGGCTCGTACAGATAGCCGCGAGCATCAGATTCTCGCTCGCCCCAGCTGGAGTCTGTCTTGCTCCGGCCGACTCTTGTTCCTCCATCTCCCGCAACAGGCTCCCGCGAGCATCAGATTCTCTCAACAGATCTTTGAAATCCCCTTCTGCCATTTCAACTTCAAAACTACCTTACACCATCGTGATTAGCCTACTATACAAACTTTCTATACAGACCAAGAGGCAAGAGCCGTTAGCTTAGCTTCTACAGAAAGACGGCTGACACGATCTTTACATTCGGTCAGTGAGATCCCGCCCCATATGGGCGTGGTGAAAACATGCTGAACACT